GAGATTCAAGGCAACATGATGGCGGATCAGCTTGCGGCATCCGCCCACGAAAGCACTGCCATTACACCTTCATCAATCCCGGCCCTTGATCTTAAGCCGTCTCTCAAACGAAAACTCAGGGACTACTGGCAGAGCAAGTGGGATACACACACACAAAACAAACTACACGTTATCAAGCCACACCTTGGCCATTGGCCACCAGTATCAAAATCACGTCTAACAGAGGTAACACTAACAAGACTCAGGATAGGACACACATACACAACACACACACATCTTTTATCCGGTGGTGATCCACCATTGTGTGATAAATGTGGTGAGGCATTAACAGTTCTTCACGTTTTAATTCAATGTAAACAGTTAGACACTCTAAGAAGACAACACTTTCCATTATCCTACCGACAGCATATACCTTTACACCCTACAATGTTTGTCGGTAGGGAACCGCTTTTTAGTCACAAATCATTGTTAGCGTTTTTTAAAGAAATTCATAGCTTTCATGTCATATACCCGGGCATACCGTAGCACGACCTCTCCAGAGAGGTTTTCGCTGCGGTGGCTACACAAAAAAGCACTTGCCTCACGGCCCTTGGACGCAAGGGTATGAACGAGTGAGGCACTTGTGCTAATGCCATACATGTCCACCATTGTTTTTATTATCATTAACTTTTGCCATCTATTCGCACCACACACACCTTTCACGGCATGGTCATGATTTTAATTATTGTATGTTTTTACCCGCTTTACTGCGAGGAATTTTATGGCCCTTATACAGCCGCTAATCACAATCATTGTCCACATTCCTGTCTTATGAACTGGCGCTCTTTGGCCATCAAATGGCCCTTGCGCCAAAAAACACCATATATCAAATCCCTCGGTCAACACCCGTCACATTTCAGCCTCTTACTCGCCAATAAGGGCCGGGGATTTGGCAAGCTTCTTGCTGAAAATACGGAGCCGTCTTTCTGCCATGGAGCGATTGTCTGATAGGTCAGCGTTTTGTCTCCTATAGGAAGCTTGACTTCATACCGTCCGTCAGCCATCTTAATGTCTATGTTGTACTGTTCTATCAAGTGCATATTTGGGGAGTCTGTCCGTGTGTCAGACACGCCAACACCCCAAACTTCCAGTACAGCATAAAAATGGTCTCCATATTCTGGTCCACCGACGCTCTTAAGACGAATGCTTGGGCACAGTTAATTGTTTTGCACTTCTATACGGTTGGCCCTTGCACCGCCCAGCCAAAGATGGTTTCGATAGCTGTTATTTTGCTGCTCAGTTTCTTAGTTCTGCTGGTCAGGCATTCCCAAAAGCTATCACAACCAATGAGCACGTCGACTGTGGTGTCTTGCTCTATGAGATAATCACCAATGGGCAGTGATAGTTCCCGCAAGGTCTCCTTTGTTTGCTCGTCGAGGCAAAAAATGGCTTGCTCACATATGGATGGCACTCCCAGAGCATTAATTATGCACTCCTCTTTCGAGGAATGCATCCCTTGAAAGAAGACGTACTTCTACTTTGCAGAAACTGTCCTATTTTTTTTTTGTCCCCCCAAAACACCGATTGTGAGAACTTCGGTTTCAAGGAGCTTACAATCAAGCTTTATTGAGCACTTTTCAGTGATAAACGTTCTTTGGCTGTCACGTTCAAAAAAGATCCGAGAAAGTTTGTTTGTTTTGGCTCCTTTATCCCATGCTGTGACAGTTGGCATTAATACCATCTGCGTTGTGCTAACACCGCCGGCTTCTGATGCGTGCAAGCTCACTTGCTCATTCGTTGTAAGTTTGGGGGTCATGTCTTTTTGGGCGCTAGCCAAGGTGGGATTAGACACCGACGTAGCATGTCGGCGGCTACACTTTTTGCATGCGACTCTGAACCTGTATTGCTGTGCAATGTGTCCCTTTTTTCTACAGCGGTAGCACTCTCCTTTCGGGGAAAAAGTGGCCTTTTTCTTCACGAGTTCCAAATTAGAGTTGCAGTACCGACTCTCATGATCTGGAGATTTGCAAATCTCGTATACACAGCCGTAGCCGCAAATCTCGCATCCATACAGAGCCGTAGCGGACGATGTTCGACATCGTCCGCTACGGCTGTGTATGGCTATGTAAAGAAACGAAACAGAAAAGTAAAGGTATTATACCTACTTGCGCCTTATACCTCTTGTCTCTGTGTCGTCGTTTTGTTCTCGCGCTATAGCCATCGTCATGCCATACCAACCAGCCCAAGCTGCCGCACCGACGGTGCGAGAGCTGAACTAAGCGCGGAAGACAATAGTCATCTGCTTATTGTATATGTTTCTCCCATAACTTCTCCCATGTAGTCGATACTAATCTAGAAAAATGTGATTTTTCAGATGTTGTCGCAGTTTGAACAGTTTAGAATTTGCTTTTTTATAAATGTCTAGCTGTTTTAATATGTTTTTATTTAACTGTGCTCGATTTTATTGTTTATTGTGCTTCCAACAAGCTCGGCCAGAGGGTGCAGACGACAGCGAAATCGCAATACGTGGATCACAATAGTCTTGGTGCCGATCGCGCCTGATCGTGATTAAAAGTGACCGTGTAACAGCACCTAATCCGCACCGACACTGATCGCGAATAAAATACCGTGTGACACCGGTATTAAGTATGTTAGAATAAATTTTAGAAGTAAATTCATGATTAAATATGCGGCACAGCGTATCGCACAAGATACTAACAATTTCTTTTATATTTCTTGGTGGTATGGCGTCGTGGCCAGCTGCCTTGTTTCCTGGTAACGTCTTAATAACTTGCCGGATGTCATTCTCCGTCACGTCACATATAGGTGGAAGGTACTAGCAACCGTTATTGGTGCATTTAAGTTGGGCATATGAGCGGGGAATTTAATATCAAGGCTGAGATCAATATTAGTAAAGTAATCGTAAAATTTGTCAGCCGCTTCGCATGTTGGGTTATCCGGTGTAATGCCTTTTATGCTACCCATGCAAGTGACGTCTTTAACAATCTGCGATACCTTTTTCGTGTTACCTTCATTTCTTTTTTACTAGGTTGCTATAGTACGCATGTGTTTTTACGGGTGTATAAGACGCATGTGAAGGGCATAAAATAAACAGTTGGAAGTTTAGCACCTACCTTCCTTGACGTCTGTGTCGTCTTTTTCCTTTTTTCATATATGCCACGCTAATACAAGCTAAGTCCTTGGTTTAGTGTTTTTTTTTATTTTCTTATCATTGCTACTGACTTGTTTTTGTACAACTTAGAATGATACCTCGAAATACGTGCGGATAACAAGCACTGAGAGCGAATTGCAACCGAAGCGAGCACCAGGGGTGCAGCCATGTGGCTGGACATCGCCACGCTGGCTTGCGGGCGACAAGCGATCTTTTCTAGTTTTGCAGAAACTCGCGGCGCAACAATCGGCGGCGACGAATGGGCCTCCGCAGCAGCAAATGCTTTCGCTCGATTGTCGCTGCCGCTTTTCACTAGAAAATCGTGCGCATGCGGTTGGGCTTGCATGCGCTGCAGGGTAAGGAAAAAACTAACACAGACGACACACTGATGCGCACCATTCTGTGTCGTCACTGTTTCTTTTTCTTTTTTTTTTTTTTTGCCTAACCCTGCAGCGCATCACAAGCATAAGCACGTACCAACTAGACCTCATTGCCGCCTTATTAGAAGGCCTTGCAAGCGCTGCTGCACTTTTGCGATCGATTGGCCTCTCTGTACGATTGTAGCCAGAACGCTCTTCCTAGGTGTGTGTGCAGGGCCAGGTTAACAGGGTGAAGGGCCCGGTTCGAAAAATATTGGGGGCCCCTCGCCCTGCTCCCTTTCTTTCCCGCTTTGTCATCTGGTCATGCTGAGACTGGACGCTTTTTAGATTTAGCTGCAAATAAAACAATCCATATTTATTTTGAGCCTCTCCGGAGTGTTTAATATCACCTAGGCGTTTTCTTTCTTACAGTGTAGTGTGCAGACTTTTTTTTAACCGAAGAATGCGTCATAAGAGCTGTGCTGCCTCGTGAATCGTTGAGCGCGGCAGCGGTGTCATGTCAGCTCGGAGAAGCATGGTGTTCACCTGAGACGCCCGTGGTTGCTATGCTATGCATGACATTGCGACTTCAAAAGTGATGGTCGATTGAAGACCCCCACCACAACACTCAAACAAGAGCGCTGTCGGCCTGTTGTCGTATACATTTCCTGTGCACAACCTCTACCAAGTGATGGTCTTTTAAGTTTCCATATAACCACCAAGCAGGAATTGAGACAGAACGGCAATGCTAGAAGTGAAGAATCAAACCATTACTCCTCCGAAGTCTTTGCATTATCTGGAAGTTCCATACCATATTTCATGATGCGTTGTTTACATTATAATGAAAGCATACTATAGCATACCTATGCTTCAGCTTCATACCGATTATTTGCCTTCAGCTGATTAAACAATATGTCAGACAGGAACCACTCTATGCGCATTCGCATTGTGGTTTGGACTGTAGCTGCTTAAATCCTCGTCAGGCTGTTCTATGCGTGTGTCCATCCACTGGATCAGCTACTTCCTTCTACACGTTGCAGAGTCTCGGGCGAGTAAAATGTCTTTACCACAGACTGCAGAACTGTGAGCTCACTTCAAAATTATGTGCGCTTTGCAACAAACAACCTTTTGTAATCATGCATATGGGTTATTTAAATACATAATCTGTTTCTATCTGAGGAATCCAGCAGGAGGTTTGAACCTTTTCAAACAACACACCGAAGTCGGCCATTTTTTCTTTGCCCTTGGGGAGAGGGAGGCCTGAAATCGGAGGGCCCGGTTCATTCGAACCCTTTGAATTCTGGATGACCTGCCGCTGTGCGTGTGTTTTTCATTTTCTACTTCGTGCAGATGCGTTTTTTTCCTCCTTTTTATCATCTATCTCCCCATTTTTTGCCCCTATCCCCCCCCCCCTTCAGTGCTGAGTAGCCAACCGCATGCTCATATCTGATTAACGCCCGGCATTCCTCTTCATCTCTACATGATCCCAGGACCACAAGGACCGCGAGTGGAAGTTCGCCCGTTCCAAGCTGTGGATGGGCTACTTCGACGAAGGCTCGACCCTGCCTCCCCCCTTCAACCTCATCATCAGCCCGAAGTCCGTGTGGTACTTCGTGCGCGCACTGCTGCGACTCGGCTGCTTCCTCTGCAAGAGGGCCTTTGCCGCCACGCCACGGCTGCAGCAGGCCGTCAAGGTCACTGTATGTATACTCAGTTAATTCGCACTGCGGGCAAGCAGTTTTAGTGACTTCGCGGCGCCACCAAATTAAGCAGCTCGAAGGCGAAAGCCCTCTTCTGAGTCGACGGAATTCTGCAGTGATCTATGTTGTTCAACTGAACATGCAGATCGAGCGAGAACGCGCACTCGGATTTTTAAATGATTCTTCTCGAACTTCGGCCACTTTGAGCGCATCTGTCTATCTATATATCTAGCCGCCTACGCCTTTTAGCTCTCCTGGTCGTTTCGATAATGGTATTAACAATACCAATATTGGTATGACATAACATAACTGTATGACAAGCATTCGTGACTAGTCATAACATGAAAATCATGACGTGCATGCCATGAATGTCATGATTTACATTTCATGGTCTCGCTGCTCTTGCGGTGGTTTCGTTCACAAGGCATTGTAAAACTGGTATGGTATGATATGACTGCATGGCAAACACAAGTGACATACCCTAACATGAAAATCATGACATGCGTATCATGTAACAACATTACTACATGCCACGCTTATGGTGCGCTCGCGGTTGGTTCGCTAGCATCACGTATACCAAATTTAGTATTACACGACGTGAATGGATGACGAAGGTATATGACTGGTGAAAACATGATAATCATGATATACGTGTCATGTAACAACATGACTACATGCCACGCTCATGATGCGCTGAGGGCCATTTCACTCGCTTCACATATACCAAGTTTGCTATTACGTCATGCCAACGGACGACAAAGGTAAATTACGCGTCCAAACATGATAATCACGACATGCGTGTCATGTACCAACATGACTGCAAGCTAAGTTCATGTGCGTTCGCGGCCGTTTCGCTAGCTTCACATATGCCAAATTTTGTATTACGTGATTTAAATAGACGACGAAGGTAAATGACACGTCTAAACATTATAATCTTAATATGCGTGTCATGTAAAACATAACTACCTGCCACGCTCATAGCACGCTCGCAGCCGTTTCGCTAGCTCCACATATACCAAATTTGGTATCACATGACCGCCGCTGAATAGACGACGAAGGTAAATCACACGCTCAAACATGACAATCATGACATGCAAGTCGTACGACATCATTTACGTCCGTTTCGTAACGTTGTTCTGATTTCAAAATGACATATCAACCGTACTCATTCGTGCTTCAGATATCAATTCCCGCTGTACATGGGATCTGCCAATATTTTTCTTGCGGCAGCGAGTAAGCACTCTCGGTTCCTAAGCAGTCGACTTGAGATTTGTGTGAAATGGAAAGTCTTTTTTTTTTCTTTAGTTAAAGAGAAACACTGAACGACATAGAAAGTTCTGCTTAATGCTAGTTATATCTTCGGAGCGAAAGCAGAGTGGTGAATTGAGTTTAAAAAGTGGGACGAATGATTAAAAAATTATTTGAAATTGCTAATTTGCCACAGAAATGGGGCACGTGTAACAGAAATAGAGCAATTCCGACTGCTGATTGCTGGTTCACGAAATATGTGGGCGGCAAACGGCAATGCATGAGCCACAGAATTTGAATTCAAATCGTTCATTGCGTTCACTGATGAAATAAACAATGAAGCAACCGGATCACATAACGTTATCACACCAGAGCTCACCCATACGCTGATGTGGCGTTACGGAAGGTGCGGTGTATGCGAAACAGCCGCCGCCGGCTTCTCGAACATGGTAATGACGTGCGATATTCTTGTATATAGCCTGCCCGCACTTCGATTTATAAAGAACACTAGTTCAATAGGAAACAGGGTGGGGCAGTTGCCTGCAAATTTAGCAAGGGTAGATACTACAACCTAATCCTATATGCTCGGGTGCGAGTGCCCATGCATATCGGCATAAGGCAATTTTCAGAGTCGCCTACAGTTTTTTGTTTTCTTTGTTGAGAGCAGGCCGGCTGAGTATATGCTGACAGTTGCATTTTATCGTGGCACGACATGGATTCTGGTTTTCTGCGAAATGACACCCTGGAATTTCTCCTTTGCAGCCTGAGTCGCACGACCCTGTCTACATCGTAAACGACAAGGCCAACCGGGTACGTATTTGTCCAATGAATGCCTTTCGTTTGTGCGCTGCAGTTTGCCTTCGCCAAATGGGCTCCATGCTATTCTGGCCGCATTTTTAAGGCTTCGTTTTGAGATAGCAGTATTACAGCTGCGCGAATATATACAGAATGCCCGCTCGTATGTTCTAATGCACAATTCACAAAACAACATTATATATGCCAAAATGTTAAGAACTCAAAGGAAGCCCCCTTGCGTGGTGCTGTTGTGCGTGTGTTTGAGTGTCCCGCTTGGGGATTTGGTAATGGGACGTTGAAAGAATCATGGTGAAAGGAAATACTAGAAATAGCCTTTTTTTTCTTTCCTTCACGGAAAGAATAAAGATTCGGCTCGTTCTTGGCTTTCGTAGAGCCATGCTTCACTTGCCTATCTGGATATACGGCTGACCGTCGTCGGCAAGGATGTTTGATTGATATTTGGGGTTTAACGTTCCAAAACTACCATATAGTTATGAGAGACGCCGCAGCGGAGGGCTTTGGAAATTTCGACCACCTGGGATTCTTTAACGTGCACCCAAATCTGGGCACACGGGCATACAGCACTTCCGCCTCCATCTAAAAAGCAGCTGCCGTAGCCAGGATTCGATCCCGTGACCTGCGGGGCAGCAGCCGAGTACCTCAGCCACTAGACCGACGCGGCGGGGCGTCAGCAGGGATGTCGTTTGCTTGTATAATGGCTTGACCCGATCCACGTAGCAAGGTCAATCGTCCCCTCCTTCCTCTAAGGGTTGATGATGCTTTCATCTATGGGCTCTGAAGCTTGCTGCTTACAATTACAAACTTGTCTTGGCAAAGTGCTATGCCGATGCTCTTAGTAGGCTACCATTGCCAAATGACACCACTGCATTTCCTCACCCTGCCGAAATCTTCATGTTGGAGAATTCATATCCACGACTCTTCTCACCAACTGTGGTAGCATGAGCCACAAGGGACGATCCAGTTGGGAGCCTTGTCCTGTCTGTGTTAAAAGGTAACGCGCCTCCAGCGGGACCAGAATGGAACCCCTACAATGCCAGAACTAGTCTTCATGAGGGCTGTCTACTATGGGGATTCAGAGTTGCGATTCCGAGTGGTAGCGGCACTTGAATTAACACGGCCGAATTCACCGGCATTATTTCGGCGTCCGCACAAGAAACGCCACACGAGCCCTGTTGCCATGCGGCGTTGGTTCCACGAACATTAAAAAAGTAACAGAAATGAGCTTGTGAGCCTAAACGAGCCGAGACACGTCAGACGCATATGAACGAGCTGCAGCACCGAACCCCATTCCGTTTCTTTCTGCATGTAACCACTGCCGATTCACTTGTAACATTAAGGCCCCGCCTCCGCTCGGGGGGGGGGGGGGGGCAATGAGACAGCTACGCAGGCAACGAGAATCGCCTTTAATGTACGACTCAGACTAATCACAAACATCCTTCTGGACCGGCTCAACATGGCACTAACGCACACAGGAGGACCGGGAACCCGGAGCAAACAGTCCCCACAGACTGGTGGTCAATGCAACATACACAGCGAAACAACGGCAAGATCACCAGTGCGAAACGAAACAGCAGGAAATCAAACCCACACGCAAGTCGCCGTACAATACGAGCCTTCGACCATGACCTCCGACATTGCGGGCGCGCGGAATGTTTCTCTCCGGCCGTCCCAATCGCACGGAGAGAGCGTGTTTCTGGAGATGGGCGTGGCCCGCTCTTTTCTCCGCACAGCGGCGCTCTTTCTTTCGGTCGAAAAGGCTGCCGCGCTGTTGGCGAAGCTTCTATGTGCCGAGAAAAAAAATGATTTTGCCCTTTTATATAACTTTGTGTTCATTTGGGAATGTCAAGTCAAGGTGTACGAGAGGCAAAGTGAACGCTAGGGCGTTTTATTTTCAAATGCGGTTTTAATTTTGCTGTAGATTGGCGCCACCCTTATTAAAGCAGTTCAAATTGCGATGCCTATGCAACAGATCCGCATGTGCTTGAAACTATACTTCGAAGTTCGCGGGCTGTGTAGTGGGGAGGGGGGGGGGGGCACTGACAAAGAAGAAAGAAAAATGGCAGCCCGATTCTTTTTATGCTGCAGTAGTCTACCTCGACGAATACTTGATTTTCTGAAAGATGTTGTTCGGCCACATGTGCAACCCCTAGATTTGAATGCACTAGAGATAACTGTAAAGGAACACGATACTGATATTTCCATTGTGCTACCAACTCATAATCAAAGTACAGATGACGAAAAAGGAGACAATGATAACTCAAGAATTCTCACTGTGAAGACGTAGGGAGTAAACGCAAGTCGGCTCATCGTAGCCTTTCACAATATTCCGGCAAAATTACTTATAACATTAATAAGTGACACGATCAGCGCAATTATTTATCTAGAATGTAAGTGCAATTCGATTGACCACCTGATAAATATCGGTATGCGATAAAATAGTAAAACGATCTCTAACGATAGGAGGGCAATATGATTTAACGACAATAGCTAGCCCAGTCTTCACCCAAATACGCGTCTCCAGTAAGGGCGAATGCTAAAATGCCTCTTTCACAGACGAAATACCTCCTTGCAATGATCTATGTCGGAAAAATTAAGCAGTTAATATGCTTTTATTCGCAAATGGGACCGAAATAAAAGCAGTAACAGGAAAAAAATACTTGCCTTCAGTGCAGTCAGACGACTTGTTGGTGATACTGCACACACGCGAGAAAAAAAAATCATGCCCATGCTGAAATCTCGTGCGCTCTGCTTTCTGCCGTGGTCTCCGTCGCTAGAGAAACCCACACTAAACGCGCCCCCTCGCCGTAGCAGAGCACGTGAGGCGTTACTCGCTGGTTTTGCTGGGGAGCGCGGCGATTGGGACGGCCGGAGAAAAGCCCGCGGCGTACTCGCTATCTCAGAGGCTTTGCATCGACTCGCGCTAGCCGACGCCCCCGAACCGGCGTGGTCTTCCCTCTGTAGCACGCACGGAGGAAAGCCTCATCGCGCCTAGCACGACCGACACCGCGTCCCATCACTCGCCTGCCACCGAAATGCCCCGCTGGCGCGTGTCACGCGCAAGAAAGGCCACACACAAGAATATACACTCCCTTGAGTGTCATAGTTCACAGAATACTGAAGATAATGATGAACACTATAAAAAATACAAGACAGTAAACTAAGAAACAGTCAATGATTAGTGTACCCAGTTTGTCGGGCGCCGCAACACTTCATTATTAATCGCGTGTTCCTGTCGACGCAGTTTGTCAGGCACCACGACACATCACCACTAGTCGCATGTCTTTGTCATGAGTTGCACCGAACGGAGCCTGCGCACACATCACAGAACAATTCATGACCTGTCTTTGTCACGCCGGTTGCACAGAATGAAACACTCACGTCGCGTGTGTCGGTATTCATAGCGGTCTGGGCCGGCGTTCCATGACTGGTGTCAGCCTTGTGCTTTGTCGCAGGCTAGTAGGTACTGAAGACGCTACGGTTGTAATGCGAAAGGCAACATTACTACAGCAGGACAACAACATCAAAAAAGGCACCGCATCATGATTGACAAACAACTCATACGCAGGATAGCAATGCCGACGCTAGTGGGGGAAAGTGTTTACGCGTTTAAAAAGCTTTGAGGTCACACACGTTTACAGGGCCTGTTACTTGACCACTGTGTTTGTTCTTGAGCAGGTATGCCAACCTGGAAATTCACTTTGCAATCATGCAGGGGCCATGCCATCGTGGTGCTAGGGAGGCAGCAAACCCGTTTGCTGCATTACAGATTGGGTGCATATGGCGGAGCACCTCATCGCCGTCCGCGAACACTAGAGGTCGCCTGCCCTTGTTATGTTGGTTGCAATGTTCCAGGTGGGCTAGTTCCTATAGTTCTCCCTGGCGTCGCGCAAAGATTCGCTCAGGCGGCTCACTCGGCTGCTCAAATGGCTGCTGACCCGCAGGTCGCGGGATCGAATACCGGCTGCGGCGGCTGCATTTCCGATGGAGGCGGAAATGCTGTAGGCCCGTGAGCTCAGATCTGGGTGCATGGTAAAGAATGCCAGGTAGTCGAAATTTCCGGAGCCCTCCACTACGGCGCCTCTCATAATCATGTGGTGGTTTTGGGACGTTAAACCCCACATATCAATCAATCAAATCAACGTCACGTAGTTACAGCGCGGTGATTCGGAGTCATGGGTGAGCACATGTTCGATGGGGAATTTGAGCTCGCGACCGAATAAAATGGCTGCCGGAGTAAAGCCAGTCGAACGATTCTCTATTGTTTGCGTGGCGAATGCCATTTCGTGTACGCGGGTATTCCAGTGTCTGCAGGTGGATTCCACTGACCGGCACAGAGGCTTGGATACCCACGTACAGAAACCTCAAAACAATGTTGGTGGCTTCCGCTGACTGGCACATTGTTTTAAGGTTTCTGTTGACGCGCTCAGTAATGTTGTCCTGAGGGTGGTAAGGTGCCATTCTTTTGTGGTGTACACCAAGAACTTTGCAAGTGCCCACAAATATTCTACCCGTGAAATATGTGCGAGTGAATGTCTGCAGCAGGCAATTCCAAATTACATTTGAATCCAGCCGGCGTAACGGGCGCCACTCTACTCGTTTCGAAAAAAGGTTTAGTGATTACTAACGAGTATTGACACCCTTTAGCTGATCTGGGGTACGGGCCCATTGCGTCACAGCCAATAACTCCCCATGGGTACCTTCTTTCCACAGATTACATGAGGCCCGGTGGTTTGCCTTCCTTCGGTTTTGTAGTCTGGCAGGTAGGGCTAGTGCGAACGTATGATGTGACGTCCTTTCTCATGTGTGGCTATGTGGCGACGCGACGCAACTTTCCAAAAGTTCTCTTGCCATCACTGTGGCCAGCGAGGCGTGTGTCATGAAAGTACGCCAAGAAACTCTAGCGTAGAGTCCGAGGAATGAAAACACGGAATGGCGCTCACCATCATGCGTATCAAGTGAGGGCACGTAACACAGCAGCAGGTCATCATCGGCTTGCAGGTAGCTGCCATAGGTGTTTGTGGACCGTGTGTTCCCGGTGGCACAGGTCACGGCAAGGCCACTTCATATTTGCTTGCACTGGTCATCACTTCTCTGAGCGTCAAGAAGCTGCTGTCGTGAGAACAGCGTTTTCCATGCATCTTCAGGCATTGTCACTACCAGGACCTCGGCGGCGGGTTCACCATCTCCGGACAGTGACGCTCGGGAAAGCGCGTCAGCCACTTTGTTGCCGGTGCCTTTCTTGTACTCAACTCTGTAATTATATTACTGAAAAGAAAGAGCCCGCCGGATCAGACGACCAGATGGGTTTTCCAGCTTCGACAGCCGTGACAGTGCCTGATGATCGGTTTGAATCGTAAATGAAGCTCCATCCAGGTACATGTCAAACTTCTTCAGCGCAAACACGATAGCGAGACACTCTCTGTTACGGTGTAGTTCCTAACCACGCCCGATAGCATGGCTGGCAAATGCTAGCGGGTAAAGCATCCCCTGATATTGCTGTTTTCTTCTTTAAGCTTACTTCTTTGAAATCAAACCTTGCCTTAACGTTCGGACATCACTGACACGAGGAAATCGCAGGCCCAGGTACTTTGCGTGCTTCATGCCAGCCAGCCCGGTATTGAAAAGAGCAAGATGATCGCCAGAAGCCATATCTGGTGACCAGGCATTGGCACTGATACGACGACCATTTGCGTATAGCGCACACAGAACCACCGGCGTGGTGACACAGACGTGGTGCACCGTGCTAGCTCTATGGCTATACCTCAACAGGAGCAGCCTGCTTCCTCTGCATCAACAGTTCCCAGTGTGCGGAAGCAAGAGGTTCCCGAGCCACCTGGAAGTTCTCCTGAGAGTGTCATAGATGGTGACATTGCTGCAAGCGACAGTGGTACGCCTGGTACACTAATGCTGCGACGCAGAAAAAGGTCGATAAAACCTCTGCTTAGTTACTCCCCGTAGTTATTTCTTTTAAGAGGTGAAAAATGCTGCAAATGTTTGTAGCTAAAACGCAGTGCCCTCGCGTAGTTCTGTTGTTGTGTGTGTGTTGAAGTGTCACGTCTGGGTATTTGGGAAATGGGACGCTGAAAAAGTAACGACTCAGTTCGTTCTGGTTTCTCGTAGTGCTGTGTTTTACTTGGCTACCGAGCTATTGATGGCATTCTTCTACTATTAGTCCGCCGGCTATCTTTAGCTGTATGAATACTATGAAGCTTACCTATTTTTTATGCACCGAAGCATGTCTGGTAATCAGCATAGTCTTGCATGGCTGCTGTTTTGGTCTTAGTTATGAGAGCACTCCTCAAACAGGCACTGAAGGAAGCTCTTTTTCCGGTGTTCGTTGTCTTTTTAACCCCCCGGCAGCCCTCGGTAATAAAAGACACATTGGACTTTCTCGTTTATTTTGACCTCATCAAAGACAAAGTCTGTATTGGCGCTGAAGAGCTCATCTGTCAAGAGCGTAATATCGGGCAGTGATGTCCCCTGATGTATCGTTTCCCGCAGAAACCAGGAGCAAGGCGCAACACGGTTGTTCTTCAGTTCAATGGTCAATCAAGCACCGTCCAATACCAGGTAAGTCATCTTAAAGCGAAGCCTTCTATGTTTCACTGATTCGTCCGTGAGCGCTGAAAATGGCGCTCATGGAGGTTTTAACTTTGAACTTTACTTTCCAACACAAATTTTTTGGGGGTAGCCCAGGTAAAAAGCTGTCAACAACAGCTTGAATGAACCTGAGGGACCTTATAGGCAGCAACTAATAGCCACATAAAAAAGCGATAATACTAACTTGATTAGAGCTGAGCATACTTATAGCTTTACAGAAAAAAAAATCAAGGCAGTCAAGCCTGGAGGAAGGGCGGAGCTTTCTTTTCGGTTCTTTTTCTTTGTGATTGCCGTTTTCTTCTCCTTTCAATCGTCATACGTGTCGTCGTGTTTTCCTAGCCAGTAATGGCCGCACTTTGTATGATAATCAAGGCTCTTGAAGGGCTAGAATAGAATACTTCGGCGCGAGCCTCATTTGTTGGCTAGGCCTGTTTTGCGTCAAGTGGAGACGACCGCATGCGACAGCCCGAGCGCCTTCACACTTGAAAAAATGTCGTCATATGTGAAAGAAACCACATCTTTTCCCTGCTACGCAAATGCGAAGCATTCTCTTTCCTCGCACATACAGTGTTCGTGTTCTCATGCAGGAGGTGATGAAGCGCCTCGTAAATCGCTACATTCATCGTGCCAAGAAACAGCTTCGCCAAGATGGCGTCAACGAGGATGACTTGCTTGAAATCAAGCAGGATATCTCCAGTCTCAGGTAAGAATGCATGGTGGCATCCTTTTGGAGGTGAAGGGCTATGGCGCACATCCTTCTCGGAAATGAAATTTTGTCGCGGTTGTCCATGCTAATTTCGAAGTGAGGGGTGCCAATCTGAGGCTCGTGTTCCACAACCTAACGATGTGCAACCTAATGATGCCCTGCCCAAGGAAAGCGTAGGGACGCTATTTGCTATCTTTCACTCAAGTGTGGTATCTATGCGCTGTAAATGCAAAAACATTAAAGTGGACGAAAACCTAGCTTGCCGCTGGTTGGTACCATGGAGGTAACGCGTTCTACCAAACAAACTACAACGGTGGTCCCTTATCACGTGCGTCATTTTAACTTGAGGGTGTAGCCGGTGGCAAAACAATATAGTCCATACGTGTCGTGCACACACATACAAAACATCAATGTGCATTAGGCGAAAAAAAAACACGAGAAAATGCAAGAATTTCATTATTTCTCATCATCCGCCACAATGTTGGCATACCTCTCTAAGAGACACTCATCGTGACTATCTTGGAAAGTGTATGCTTGTATAGGCTCGCGCACGTGTCAGAATTTTTGTATTCGTACCTGATCTTGCGTGTGCGTCTGTATCCTTACGTTTGCCTGTATACATGAGCACATGTTCTGCGGTGTAGCACATATGCACCAGTCACCTCCAAAATAAGCCTTGTTGTGGTGTTCCCGTTTTGATCTTTTTGCGCTGTTTTGGATGCGCTACACCCCATGCGCACCAGTTGTAAGCAATCACGCATTGGCCTGAAACATCATGAAAACAGCTTAGATGAAATGTACCCTATGTCGTTAACTAGTGTTAAGACCATGTGTATTAATTATTAGAATTCAAACGCAACCCTTCAAAATTGTATTGCAGGGCATCGTATGCATTAAAATTTTGTCTCTTGGGACTATGAAGCGGTTCAATATAATGAAACAGCTTAGCCTTTCTGGCCTTTTATGGTGCAAGGCGGATTAACATGCTATTCAATAAAGAAAGCACTACTGTCTCGTTTTGACGTTATGTAAAGCATTATTACTGAAAGGGACAAGGAGTTTTATGACATGCACGATTCGCAGCCGAGAATCCCGCGCTAGAACCTCGCGCTGACGTGCTATGCAGTGAAGATGAGGCAAAGGCAGGCTTCCTGCTACCTTGTGCTTGTTCTGTCGGAAATGTTTTTTTCTCCCTCAAAACAAAAGCTGCTTTTCTGAAAATTTCTGCATGTTGTACTAAGAAACCATTCTATGCAACAATGTAGAAGCCATATTTTACAGCGAAAGCTGTTACGAGATCACAACAAGGGTCACGTGTGCCGTAGTCGGCCGCCGCTGCCGCCGCCGCCGCCGGTGTCCGTAACACTATCGCACGACATAAGAAAAAAAAACTTAGTAAATAAAGACACCAACGACACAGTGGGACGCGAACCCGAGTCCTCTGCGTGCCAGTCCAGTATTCTGCCGCAAAGTCCCACCGGCGCTTGAAACTTCGTTGCCTTAGGCAGGCTTGATGTCGGGAAATGAACCGCCTTAATATAAGTGATAAAGCGTTTTAGAACAGCACGGAACAACCAGGCGTCACACAATGTGAATTGCGTGAAAAGTGGATCTTCCAGTGCTCCAACCCATTACAAAAACTTGTTCTTGTTTATTTAGTAACTGTGGCACATACTCACTTCAGGCATAATTCTGTATTGTCATCCACGCACTGCATCAAAAATTTGCACAAAACTCTTTGCAAATGTGTAGCAAACCCCACGCTTCTCCGAAGAATGACGAAGGATAGCATATGAATGCCAGCCTACTATACAAGTAGCAGTTACCCAAAGAATGTTTAGAAAATAGTTTGGAAGGCCATTCTTCCAGCTTTCGCTGTGACTGTGCTGCGCGTTCCGTGCAGGCCTGGCGTTTTTTTTTTTTTTTGCTTGGACCACTACATCGCCAAAATCAAGCCGCAACATTAGTCAAAATGCTACGTTTCCTTTTCCAAAACGTGACACATTATTTTGCCATATTCGTGCTTCATTTGCTCCCTAATCATTTTAATAATATAACATAGAAACATATAAAGCATAAAATGTAAATACAGTACTGAGACCCCCCCCCCTCTAAAAAAAATTGTTCAAAGTCTGGGCGCCTAAGTGAAACTCTGTCGCGCTAAATTATTTATATAATATTACTTGTGAGCAAACAAGCAATGTTTTCCTTAAGCTTAAGGGGTCTACTTTTTCAAGGCTATGCTAGGTCACTCTTTTTCTTTTCAACTTCCTTTTTTTTTTTGCTTCGGAAAAAGCTGAAGTATGCTACATGTTTAGCGCTCTTCATTAAAAACACAGATTTTTTTTTCTGCCAGTACTATATTTACATTTCCTGCTTTATATGCTCCTATATTAAATTCATGAATTACTTCAGGAGCGAATGAAGCAAGAACATTGCTAGAATGTTGTGAGAAAGTTGGAAAAAATAGCAATTCGGCTCATATTGTGGCTTAATTTTCGCCATGTATACAGGGTGTTTCAAGAAATGTGTCTAGTATTCTTTAAAAATTACAGAAAGGAGGTATCTGCGTGCTACTTGCGGCGTCGCTTTCCTGTGTTAGGAGGTATCTTCGGATGCGTACAAACATTTGCGGCAGTAATTATTGAAATTAACACAAATAACTTTTTAACCAGTGGAAATAGCCGGTCGAGCCAAATGGGTGAATTCAAGACCTTTCTACGAATAGTCCATAGCCATTTTGAAATTTTGGAAAAGCGGCCACTGGTAATCACCGCGAAGCGATGCAATGAGCCTAATTTAGGAGGAGAAATTGAAACTGACTCACCAATCAGCGCATCTACCAATCACTTTGACAGCGCTCTTGATGACGACACTGTTTTTCTCGCTGTTATCAACCGTCAATTTAGACACATGGCTTCGAGGCCGCTTTTCGACGCTTTCGATGTGCCGACTTTAACAGTGATTTGATTCAGCGCCGGCATTGCTCCTAGCCACAAACGAGGAGCAAGAAAGAACAAATCTGACAGACATATGATAATGGAGTTGGAAACACGGATACCGCATCTCCGGGGGAAATCACTCGAAAGCCCGCGTGACGCAAGCAGCGCTACTGCCCCTTACGTAGCGTCGCATCACGACCACTCCCTGAACTAAGGCGGACCGACGGCTGCCGTTGAGAAGCGCATGTTTCCACTGGCATTCAAAGAAATAAAAGAAGCGCGCACACGGATATGGACACCAAAACAAGAAAATGCACACAACAAAAGCGACCTTCCCAACTAAAGTTTATTCGAAAGAAAAGTAGGTACATATATATCACTTCTGTCACATGACCTGGCAAGTGAAACAGCCAAACACACACACACACACACACACACACACACACACACACACACACACACACACACACACACACACACACAAACTGGGTCTATGAAACACGAGCCTCAGATCAGATCCCCGTAGTTCTGTTGAGGTATGAAAATTATTTTTCTGTTAACGTGATGGAGGGTGGGCTTACGCACTTCTTCCCACTTCTCGTAATGTAAAACGCCTCTATCAGCTCTCTGGTGGTCCGATCTGGGTGTTTAGATAAAACAATAGCACCACAAAAATAGCCCTTATTCAGTTACAAGATAAACCAATACCAACTAGCCTAATTATCCGTGCTACTGGAATAAAAGAGGCGTTGGTACTGCACTCTCAACGTGAACAGACTGTGCGGAAAGTGGCGTATTCTCTTACACCAACGTCTCGTTTGGTTGCGTGACATTGGATCCAAAGGGTCTGCCTCACTTCGTAGAACATTGAAATTTGTTGCTATCGTATTCATTGCTTCATCCTTGCGGTGACAGTGTTATTTTGTTCTCTCTTCTTCTTCGGGTGTTTTTTATTTCTGTCTTGCTGCATTTGATGTACCTATTTTTTCTATTCTTTTCTTTCGCTTGCTTCCTTTCTCTCGCTATATCTGTTTTCTATATATCTGTATCGCTATAACGTAGCGCATAAAAACTCAGACGCCTGTGTCTCAGTTTTTACGCGCTGTACGTTATTAGTTATGTATTACCAACACGCCCAACTTCATACCCTTGTCATCTCTTTTTTTATCTTCCTTTTTCCACGTGTATACCACTTGCTCCGCTTTCACGAGCGGAGCTTTCGTTCGCACATCTAATGGGGTATTCCCAATGCGTGTGGCTGATATTTTCCTGTGGAGTTTAGCTCGACTCAGCGCAAGTTACTGTAGCTTAACACCTTCGCTGACTCATCTCCACATCTTATATATATATATATATATATATATATATATATATATATATATATATATATATATATATATATATATATATATATATATATATATATATATATATATTGAATCTTGACGTGCCAAATTCTTTTAAGAGATGATGCGTATGCGAAATACGAGAAGGGCGTTCTTTCGAACGGCAGCATTAGGTGGCATTTTCTTCAACAAGCCGTAGCCGTAACGCTTCCCCAACCGTCTTTCCGGCCATAACGGGACTGAATTTTTTGACTGCGGCCCCTGAGGGGAGCTTGAGACCCCTACGTTACAGTAATTACGGTGAACTACCGACTGTAACCCTAACTTTCCGTGTGTTGCAGGTTCGAACTCCGTGAAGATCGCAAGCGCGAGGCAGCGCACAATGTGCGCCAGCTGGACACGCTAAGGCGGGACATCTTCAAGGGCGTGCCGGCCGGGCCCGATGCTCCGACCGCGCCGCAGCCGTGCTCCTCGTATGGACTGCTGTCGCCCGAAGAAGTGGAGCAGCTGCGCATGCAGGTATACTCTCTCTTTGATGCCAACCGATGACCGCGGCAGCTGGTTACGTCCGCGGCCACGAAAATCTGTCGTGGCCGGGTCACCGACCGCGCACCTTATATGACGTCCGTCCAGTACACGCGCTCCATGGGTTACTGTAAACATGCGTTTATCATCTGCAACTTATGAACAGCGAATATGGCTTGGATGCAAAACAGCCATTTGGGTGGCACTCGAAGCCAGAACTGGCCAAAGTGGGAGCAACGGGTGCTTTTAGTCTTTGAGACCAACTGTCGCTCCCCAAAAACAACAAGTGGAGCAAGATGGCCGACATGTCCAAAAACGGGGGAGCAATCGTATTAGTCTTAGGTTCGTAAGAAAGTAATGGTAAGAGAAACGGAAGTAATGTCTCATCCCGCAATGTTACTCCCCTAAGGACACCGCGGACAAACATATATACGCCCACAATATTCTAAGGTCAATGTTTTGTGTCCTGAACTGCACCAAATAAAACATTTTAGCATTTTAGCGGAGTACACCCCCAACGCCACACCGACATGGAAACGACAGAGATCGAAGTGCGTGCATCATTTACATGTCAGCTCAGCAGGCCTCATCCTATATTAGCCTAAGAGACGTGGTAACCGGACACAGAACACCTCTCCGAGTCGTGTAGCTGCATCAGGAACGGTACGAAGTGGTCAGAGTCGGCTTCGTGCGTTTGGCAACTGGCCACGTTGTGGACCGCCGGTAGAAACGTTGTACATGTTGTTAGCGACAGCATGTCACGCGTTCACTCTCCGTCGAAGGATGTTGAAATAAAGAAGTGGGGCATGTGGGGAGGTGCGACGGACGTAGAGAAATAGAAGATTGAAGTAAGGAGGCGGAGCTATTCGCAATGTTCATGGACACGGTCGCGCCGCCTAGCGGAATCCAGGAGCATCCTTTCAAGGATGATCAGTAGGCAGACGCTCCCAATGCTGCCTTGTTCGGTGGTGCTTAGCCGCAGTGTTAACTCGTTTGCAAGAAACGAACACAAACCACTTTGTTTGTTTTGTGAATCAGTGAATATACCGTACCATCCGTGACACGATAAATCTGATTTCTTCTTGCTGAGACCCGAAGTTTTCGTGAAAATACGTGTCAACTCACGCTCTAGATTATAGCCCGCAGAGTACACACATCAGCTTCGCGAGGTTTTCTGCAGCCACTTAGGATAATTAAATGTTATCGCCTGGCCACTCCAGTTAAAACTCGCCTTGTTTTACGGACGTATGGCATTCGTCAGTGCTTTTGTAGTGCATGAATTCCATGATATTCATTGTACACGGAAAGTAGCAGCAGGCTCGCGATTTAGCGTTTCTAAACCTTTGCCTACGCTGCGCCACTTGTTTTTTTTTTTTACGTTCGTTGATAGATGGCAGCACACTGCAAGCAATTCCTTTCTTGCCGGGTATCGGAGCTGAAATGATCTCCGCGCCGTCAGATAAACGTGGTGAGTGACGCCATGAGATGCTTTGTTTTGCGTGGCTTTGTCGGTGCTATCTAAGTCGTTCAGCGGAGATAATTCCTCGGATTACTTTCAGCAGTGATGTTCAAAAAAACCGTCTTGACGTTGAGGATTTTTCGCTGGACGTAGATGGTTACCTAACAATTTATCCTGCAACCTTCGTATGTTTGCAGATGATTGTGTCATCTACCGCAAAATAACCAACACTTTTGATCAAGCAGCACTACAGAATGACCTTAATGAAGTATTAAACTGGTGTGACCATTGGCTTATGACCCTTAATCCTAACAAATGCAAATTAGTTTCCTTCCACCGCCGCAAAAACCCACTCCAATTTTCCTATGAAATTGCTAACATGCCAGTCGAAACAGCCGTATCCTACAAGTATCTTGGTGTAACATTAACCCCTGATCTTTCCTGGCGAACGCATATCACTAACATGATTTCATCAGCCAACCGATCATTAGGATTCCTAAAACGTCACCTACGTCACTCACCGTATCACGTTCGTCTTCTGGCCTATCAGTCGCTAATCCGGTCCAAACTTGAATACGCATCACCCATCTGGAGCCCTCACCAAGTTTATCTGATCAACGCTATCGAAGCAGTTCAAAATCGTGCCGCTCGCTTCATTCATTCTTCTTATTCTTACGATGTCAGTGTTTCATCCCTTAAAAATGAATCCGGTCTATTAAGTCTTCCCCTTGGCCGCAGAATTGCTACGTTGTCACTGTACCACAAGTTGTATCACAGCTCACTCTACCAACCACCTTACATCGCTCCCGCCGCACGCATTTCTCCCCGCACTGGCCATCCACTTCAAGTCTTCCGACCCCGATCTGGCACCTCAACATTTTCTGCATCATTTCTCTGCCGCGCCGCCAAAGAATGGAATGACCTTCCCCACGATGTTGTTTCAATCACCTGTCCATCACGTTTTATTCAAAGTGTGTCAATGCATCTGCAATGTTAACCTGTGGCTTTCGTATCTTTGTTGTACAACCCACCCCTTATGTAACACCCCCCTGTGGGGTCTTTAAGGAAATAAAGTGAAGTGAAGTGAAGTGAAGTTGTCAACGCGCTGAGATTGACAGCGACGATGAACAATCAGCTGCTAGCTCACAAGCAGAGAGTTGCACTTCACGTCCCGTCGTGCGTTAATGTTTTTTTAACGCTCGTAAGTAACCTTGATTATATTTATTGTATAATATCATCTGTATAATATCCTCATTGTATAGTATCACATTGACGGGAAAGACAATTTGCGGTGTTCCATGTAAACTGCAAGTGCCGAAACTCTTCAGATTGTAGGAGTGATGTTTATTTTAAAGACTTGGAGGCCTTTGAATCGTTCTGCAGTTGTAAGGCTGCAAGTAATTTGGCAGCCCTGTGCTACATGTAGAGCTTGTCGGGACGCGTTTTCGTGTGCTGTTCCTAGGCGCGCGTGCACCACGAATGTATTGATGCCGTTTATTTGCTCCGTTTATTTTAGTCATTTTCGCCATATAATTGCCTTGTATATACGCCGCCGAGTCCTCACACAGTAATAAAAGAAAACTGTGGAGGTACCAGTACCGCCAGGAAATTCAAAGACGCCGAATCGAGCGAGTCCACTGTTTCATTCACTACAATTCAAGCATGCCCAGGGGCCCAAAGCAAGCGAATTTCTGATAGGCTACGGGGTACGAAAAACCGAAATATCCTCAGACGAGGAGACTTCTCTGCGGACGTTAAATGCGTACAAACAGGAAATGCATCTGAAATAATAATAGCTCTTGATTGCTGAGAAATTAGTTTTCTAAGATCCAATGTAATTGCCAGGAATTATGCTAGACAAATTGGCGTGAAGTCTGGCTGTCGGATCGCAAAAGACCAATGAAGGAAACGAGAAAAAAATACCTACTCCGGCCTTCTGAAGATTTCGCGTTGCATTCGTCGAAATTACCAGGAAGATGACTGAGATGACTTGAAAAGGGCCCTCCAGAACATGCTTTGGAAGTAACTTAGAATTTCCTTTTGAAAAAATGTCATCGAAAATTAAGTCAACTGGCACCGAGTATGCAGGGTTTGGCTATTTAAATTCTGAAGAAACACGTGAAGGTCCGATAACCGAGACTCGGCGAAAATGACTTGGAGTCTTCGATAACAATGCCATGGGTGCTTAAAGAAAGAATCTGGAGATTTGATGAAAAATGTCTTAGAACGGGAGGTGGGTGCATCGTAGAGCTTTACAAATGTTTGCACGGTAAGCTGTCGAAATCTTGCATCAAGTGGAATGATTCAATCCTTCGAAATAAAGCAAGCTATTCGCAACACACCTATAGGTAGCCCGAGACCCAGCCGCAGAGCTTGCCTTTTTAGCAATATTAGAGGTCTCAGCACTTACGGAAAAAAGCACGCAACCAAATTCCAGAGTAGGGCGTACGTAAAGTTTGTACATTACAAGAAACGTATTCTAAGCATCGCCTAATTCTTATTGCAAAACTGGCTTAACAATCCTAAGGCGCTTTCTGCTTTACGGGTGTTTGATTTTATTTGTTACTGCCAACTGAAACTGTCCACGTAAGCAATGCCAGATATTTTAGTGCGGTTGCTTGTGGAATCGGATCACTTCGATAATGCAGCTGAAAGAAATACGGGAACGGATACAGGGAATACGGGAAGAGTACAATTGCTGACATTAAGCAAGAAAAAGAGTCCGCCAAGCCATACCTCAGGCTCACTGAAGTAAGACTGTAGGATTTGATACAAAGTGTTGATATTTCGGGATGCCAATAAAAAGCGATATCATCGGCATAGACGTAAAGAGGAACATTTTTATGATGTGGAATTGATGATAATAAACTAATAAACAAAGAAGGTGACAGAACTGATCCTTGCGGAACAACTCTTGTTTGTTTATATGAGGCAGAAGCGATTCCCTCGTGGCAAAAAAAAAGAATTGTCTCTCGAAGAGAAACTCTTGAACCTAAGATATAATTTTAATGGGCACAATACAGCTCAATAATATAGAAATCAATCAACTGTGCTCAAAACTATCGTAGGCTTGTACAATATCTAATGTGATTAACGCAGAAAGCTCACCAGATACTTTTGCAAGTCTGATTCGGCTTTCTAATTCAACATGAGCCGACCATGTAGAACACCCCTGACTAAATCCTATTTGTCTTGGCGAAAAAATACCTTGATGAAAGATAAATTCACTCAGCCTTTTATGAAGAATTTTTTTTCAATTATTTTAACTAAGTTTGAAGTAAGTGAAATCAGCCTAATGTTATCCAGGACATATCTGAGGCTTTGATTTTTTTGCAGCAACACAAGTTATGCAATTTTTCATGCGCTTGCAGTCCAAATGTGCTATAAGGAACAGTTAACAATATTGAAATGCTCATCGGGATATGAATTTAACATTAGTTTAATCATAGAGTTTGTAATCCAATCGGGACCGGGAGCCGCTCGACTTACAGTTACTACGACATCTGCCAGTTCTGTCATAGTGACTTCCCGAAAG